ATCAAGGTATCCATCACCTTAGGCACTTAACATTTTTTGTGTGTTAGGAACCTTGTAATTTTACTCTTTTAAAGTATACCCTAATTTATTGTTGATTATAGTCATTTCGTTGTGCTATCAAATATTGTTCATTCTAACTATATTTTTGCATCCATTAATCCTCCTCACTTTATCCCTCTGTCCCACCCCAGCCTCTGGTAACCATCTTTCTACTGTCCTTATGAGATGAATTGTTTTTAATATTTACCTTCCATATGTATGTGAGATTTGTCTTTCTCTCCTTGGCTTATTTCACTTAACATAATGTTCCACAGTTTCATCCATGTTTCAAATGGCAGGATTCCATTCTTTTTTGTGGCTACATAATATTCTGCTATGTACATGTACAATTTCTTTTTTCTTTTCTTTTCTTTTTTTTTTTTTTGAGATAGAGCTCCAAGCTATCCCCCTGGGTAGAGTGCCATGGCATCACAGCTCACAGCAACCTCCAACTCCTGGGCTTAAGCAAGTCTTCTGTCTCAGCCTCCCAAGTAGCTGGGACCACAGGCACCCGCCACAACACCCGGCTATTTTTTTTGGTTGCAGTGGTCATGGTTGTTTTGGCGGGCCCAAGCTGGATTTGAACCTGCCACCTTAGGTGTATGTGGCTGGCGCCTTAGCCACCTGAGCCACAGGCGCCCAGCCTACATGTACAATTTCTTAATCCACTCATCTGTTGAGGGACGCTAGGTTGATGCCATGTCCTGGCTATTGTGAGCGGTCTACAAGCACAAACATGGGAGTGCAGATATCATTTTGATATACTGAATTCCCATCTTTTGGATATATACCCAGCAGTGGGATGATTCTTGGGACATGTAGTTCTATTTTCAGTTTTTTGAGGAACCTCTATACTGTTTTCCATAGAGGTTGTACTAATTTACATTTTCACCAATAGCGTACTAGGATTCTTTCTCCACATCCTCACCAGCATTTGTTATTAGGCCTAGGGCTTTTTATTATTTTTCTCAGAGCATCTGTCACCCTGGTGTCATAGCTCACAGCAATCTCAATACTCTTGGGTTCAAGTGATCCTTTTGCCTCAACCTCCTGAGTAGCTGAGACTACATGTGCCTGCCACAATACCTGGCAAATTTTTTTATTTTTAGTAGAGACAGAGTCTTGCACTTGCTCAGGCTGGTCTTCAACTCCTGAACTCAAGCAATCCACTTGCCTTGGCCTCCCAGAGTGCTGGGATTACAGGCATGAGCCACCTCACTCGGCCAGCCCTAAGGATTTTTATAATAACTTTTCCTAAGGTCACACTGCTAGTAAATGGTAGAGCCAGGATTCAAACCCATGAACTCCAAAGTCAATGTTCAACATATTACAATAAGGAAAAGACTAGGAGTACTGCTAATTGGCAAGGTGCCCACTAGAAAGAGCAAATAACATCAGCACTCTGGCATTACCAAAGGGGTAGGCAGGGTCATTGTGCATCTCTAGGTTTGGCAGTAAACTTTCTAGAGGCCCAACTCAGAATCTCTTGCTTGACAGAATAAACAAACACAGGGAAGTTATTATGACATGAAATTAACTTTTAAATTTAGGAATCTCTAACCAGATGAGGTCCGTGGTGGTGGTGGTGGGGAATAAATTCAAGAATCTTTGGTATATTGAATTATCTGCAGCTTCACAAAGACTCTGACTCCTATGCAGAAGTTCACATGGATCTTCTAATAGGTACCTCATTTTGAGCACAGCAGGAGAGTGAAATGAAAACATACAGGAATCATTCCACCTGTAAGACTTTCACATTTAAAACTGATGGTGGCTGTGTGCCTGTAGCTCAGTGCTTAGGGTGCCAACCACATGTTCTGGGGTCGGTGGGTTCGAATCCAGCCTGTGCCTGCTCAACAACAAAAGCCAGGTGTTGTGTTAGGCACCTATAGTCCCAGCTAGTTGGGAGGCTGAGGCAAGAGAATCGCTTGAGCCCAGGAGTTTGAGGTTGCTGTGAGCCATGACACTACAGCACTCTACTAAGGGTGACAAAGTGAGACTCTATCTCAGTTAAAAAAAAAACAACCAAAAACTGATGGTAATAGTTGGGCTCTACACAGACTATGAAGAAACTAGCTCATCACTCTGGGTAGAAAAACGTGCATCATCCGGCTTGGTGCCTGCAGCTCAAGTGTCTAGGGCACCAGCCACATACACCAGAGCTGGCGGGTTTGAATTCAGCCCAGGCCTGCCAAACAACAATGACAACTACAACCAAAAAAAAAAA